ACTACCCAGTGGGAGGGCATTTTTTTGCAGGCACTAGTGGGAGGGAAGGTAGTGAGAGGGGGTGATGGGTGGGGAGAGGGCAGCGGGAACCAAGATGCAGTGGGAGGGCATTTTTTTGACGTCAGTGGGAGGGGATTTACAGCTTAACCCCTCCCCTCCAAATTTAAAAACGTGCCAAATATCGATAATGCAATGGGAATTAAACTGACTTTCATCCACTTGTAGTTGTAGTTATTTAGTTGATTGCTCTAATTGAATATCACATATATCACTTCAATAATTACCTATGAATAGCGTGAGACCCAACTAAAGAATCTGGTGTGATGGCTTCAGCTACAGGTCTTCCTGAATAACTTGTAATAACCTGTTTCCTTTTTACACCAGACTTCCGTCACTGTTTGTGAATAAAATGGGCAACATGAAAAAGAAGGTGATAGCAGTGGCACTAATGACGTCAGCAGTGATCAATATAGGTTTCATCCTTGTATACCTGGTACGTACTGATTAATAATTTTATCAACTAATCTCTGGACAATTATGCATTCCATTTGTCCGTATTTGAACACATACGGGCACGATAATAGCAGCGTGTCTGTCTGTCTGTCCGACCTCTCTCACTCCCCCCTCCTTCCCGGAGGCCACACAATTAGCATGATCGATTCCTGACAAGATGATTACATGTACACACAGAACCATGGGTAAAGCCAGTTTTCCAACACACAGATCAGACACCGTCACGGAGTCTGGTTCACCACAACGTTTCATACCAAAGTCACATGAATATCAGTGTCTTGTAACAACGTGCCGCGTTTTTTTTATAGACGCTAGCCCTCGTACAATGATATGCACACCGAATGTTATCCCAATTTACTATTATCAGAGGCCTCCATACAGCGTTTCAGTTCAGTCAGGTGACATCGACACCAACCACTAAAATGCCATCTTCAACAGGAAGGGAACGTTTGTTTCGGGTCACCCCTCCAAACTAACCCTTGGCAGATTGAACCACTGTGGTGTTTATTTAATAGGCGCCCTTAACTACGACAATAAACAACCAATCAGCTATCTTGTATCAAAATATAGTAGAGCGGGTGTTTTTAAAATGGCGACCCAAGCTGAACAGATCAGGCATTTTTTCAAGATTAAGACTACTAGCTGAAAAGGACAGGGGGTGGCAAATCACAATAATTGGACAACAGTTCAACTCTTGAATGATCAATCGAGTAGAGTTTCTGATATTTTCTTTCAGAGTTGAAAGTTTGATCACTGTGTTAAAACATAGTCGACATAAATAATTGCCACTTTGCTGACGAAGTATGCCAAAAACAGCCTGCAATGTTGGCAAAAAAATGTGGAAAACTGGATGAAAAAATGCAGCGCCGGTTTATTGAGTTTGGTAAACAAGCTAAACACAGTCTACACGCACGGTTACTAGAAGAATTTTGAAGTACACGTGCTACACGTCGCCATTTTGTTCTTCAGCTTACCGCGCAATAAATCACAGCGTCTGATTGGGCGCCTTTCCAAAAGGCGCATCCAATCAAACTTGGTCATTTCAAGTTGTTTAACATAAAATACGCAGCACGGGTTGGTGGAGTCGGCACCAACAAACCGTGCGATTCGAACGATGCTTAAACGCGCGTTCTAAAAATATCCAGGAAGATACTTCACCCCTGGTTTTCTAATTGCACACCATTTCTCCTGTCCTTACAAAACTGTCAATTTCCTCCTGCTCACAAATACAAAAAACAAATACCCTGCCCTTAAACATTTTCTGAGCAGCTTTTTCGATGAACAACTTCATTGGCTGCACCTGTACGATCCGTTGATAGTTGGGATGCAGTCTGACAGATTCCTCTTCATTTGCACGTTTTTCATTCATGTTTTAAAACGGCGTCGGTCTGCTCAAGCACCGTTATAGTATCATGCCAGAAGACAAATTATTTTTCCTTTTTTGCAATAGAATTACTTTATTATACCCCATTATAATAAAAAAATACATAACATAAAATGTAGCTATTTTGCGAAAGTGATTTTTGGAGCAATTCTTAATTGGAAAAATAAATAAATGAATAAAATATGTGCTTAACTATTACATAACAATATTACACTTTCAATGTTAATGCTATGGATGACATTAAATCAAACTGCACTAATCCTGTTGGTCAGGATATTAAGAAAGACAATAAATTATTTGAGGGACACTCAGTGACCGTCCATTAATGCGCGTCAAAAATCGTGCAAGAAAGTAAGAAATACGCAATTTTATTGTTCAAAATATACATACAACAAGAGTTGCCTCAACATATGAAAAATATCACCTTTGTTTAAAACCATGTTCTTAGTTTCCTTTCCGTTAATTTAATGTGAAATACACTTTTCCGCTTTACATATCAGAAAACATGATAATTTTACGTCATCTTTCCTTTCTATTTGCATATTAGTATATTAGTATATTAGTTATTATATTACATATAATCAGTATCTTAATCGCTGTAGTTTGTAATGAGGGCGAGGCTAGGACTTTAAATATACATGACATTTGAGTAGCAACCACAAGCGAGGCCTCACCTGGAATATTTAAATTTACCCATACGTATAGGTAAAAAATACCAAATCAACTAAAGCACATTAGGTGGACATAATTTTCGGATGTGGTCAGCTTATGGACTAAGATGCCGATACCTTGGGGTGAATCATTGTATGTATTTTAGAATAGAACATGTTGAGACAAACTCCACAGCTTCATGGGTTCCAGTGAATGTTAAAGTAATTGTACTTTATTCTATCCAGGACGTGTCATCGTATGTTGCCAATTACAATACTATACAACCAGTGCGCAATCTTTACCAACATATCTCTGAAGATGAAATTATAGATGACGTCATACAATATGGCAACAATATCTGGAATATATCCGCAGCTTTTAAAGGCTCGAAACACAGGACCAATGCCCAAACTACTGTTGTGACGCTCTCAAACGATGCTGAGTTTATTTATAGAGGTGACGTTATTGTAATTAAACTCCACGCACGTGACGATAATGGACGAGATCGTAATGTAGGAGGTGATATATGGCGTGTAGCAATAAACAACATGGACAAGAAGTTTTCCTCTATGGGGAAGATTACCGACCATAATAATGGAACATACACTGTACATGTATACGCTGGTTTATCTGGGCAAGTGCAAGTTCAAGTGACGTTAGTCTTGCAGAGAGAAGCAGTTTTATACCAAAGAGACGTGCTCAGACCAACCGAACTTCGGAGCACCTGGCGCGGAATATTCAAACGACGCAAAAAAACCGAACATACATATTGCGTGTTAATGAGAGAGGGAGTTTGGGACAATAAATGCGAATTTCCGCATCCAAAAGCATTAGGAATGACGACATTTGTATGTGATCCACCAAAGACTCTGCACTGCAATACTCTCACTGAAATACAAAATGTGGCAAACATTCCAAACTCTTTGAATAGAACCATGGCTGAAAATAATTATTTCTTTCAAAGGTAGGTGTTATTAATATTCATTTTAGTAATATAATTATTATTATATATTACTTTATAGAGATGAATGTTATTATCTGCGTAAATGAAAACAATACAGATCAGTGAAATAAGTTCATGTAAATGACGATTATTCCAAAAATAGAAATACTGATTCACGATTAAAGAAAGTGTGTATATGCAAGCAATTTAAAAGTTATTCATTCATTTTATTCGTTAGTCCCAATGCAGATCAAGTTATCACAAACAGTAGCTTGAAGGAAATAACCATAAAAGGTGAGTCGTATTTTACTTAA